TTGTATTAAATATATATATATATTTTACGTTGATAAATGTTTATTTGTGATGATTTCTGCACCTAAGATTCAACTTAACTCGAACTTTTTCCAATAGTAACTTTACAAGAGCCGAAGAAAGTCTGTAAAAAAATTGATAATAAAGAATAAAAAAGCAATTTGTTCTTCTAACCATCGAAATTCAGGATCGATAAAGATCCTGAATTCGTAACAGATGTTCAATCTTGTTGAATTTTCGTGCGAAGGTCAACAATGATTCTGTGAAGATTTTCAACACTATTATAAATTGACATTTATTGTATGAAACGATAATTTAAATCAGTAATCACTGGTAACAGAAGCCTGTGTTACGTCAAATTGCCACGTATGATATAAAAAAAAGCTATTATAAGAGGTCAAACCTTTAAAAATTTATATCTTTTCCTGCTGTAATAAAAATTAGCATCCTATACGTTACGAGGTCTTTCAAATATCGAAAGAGTAAAGGAGAATGGAAATATTTATTAATAAATCAAATAAGTATCAGTAAGGCTACTTTAATAGCTAAAATATAATCAATTTTATCAGAAATGTCTACCAGAACCATTACTCATATTATCTTTATCTCTCATGTACAGTACACTCATATTATTCTCCAGGCATTTTTTGTTTATATACTCCTAAACAAGTTTATGTAAGATAATATAATACTGTTTTATATTATATAATAATTTTATTTATGGTAGAAAATCCTTTCTTAATTTTTATTTTTTCTGTGAAAAATAAATGGTATATTTAATGAAGAAAAATCGAATTTATAAGCTTGGAAGAGTCTTTATTTCACTGAAAAAGTTTGTTAATTGTTTATTTTCTATGTAAATTTAAAAAAAAATTTTTTTTAATTTTTATAAAGAAGAATAAGGTATACTTATCTGTTTTTATGTTAACTCGATTTATTTTTCGTGAACTCTTATAATTTACAGTATATCGTCAATGCAATTTACTAGTTGCAAAAGACAAAATTAGATTCTTGGGAAACATTGGAAATTCAATTATCGGCAAAGTAAAATTCTATTAGGATCAAAAAACAGTTTCATTGTGTAATGACAGCTACCAATAGAGCATCCCTGCATCATGAAAGATTTATCTTCTTATTGAAAGCCAATAAAGAATTCAGTTAGAAAATAATTTACTTTACTTATTAAAGAAAATAAATTACAGAAATGATTTTGTAATTATGTAAGCATAAGAATTTTTCATAAATATTTAATGCAATTATTGAATTGTTGAGAAACGTGCTTAACTTTTAATTATTGTGAAAGAAAAATAAAGAAAGAAAGCGATAATTATGAAATTTAACGAGGAAATTCATTAAAATTTATATTTATTTTAATCAGATATTAAGTATTATCAGTAATTTTAACATAATTAGTAATATTAGATTATGTTTGACATTGCATAACTGCCGCTTCCAGCACCAGAAAGTCTATTAAAGTTATATTTAATTAATATAAATATAAAATGGCTCTTAAAATTTATTATAATATAGTTTAATGTTACAAAGTTAATCTTTATTTATTTAATTTTAACTTCTAAAAAAATATATATACCGTATATATAAAACTTAAATCAGGAAATAATTATATATAGACCTATATATTTTTCATTTTATTACCAATAAATTCTACACATCACACTTATAAACTATATATTTTATAGTCCCATTATGTAGTTTTATGTATCACACATATATATAATATAATTGATACATTAATATTGCCTATTACACACTTACAAGCACATTAAGATGACTCCTAACTTATAAAGTTAAAAGTTTATGTTAAATAATAAGGTTATAGTTTCATAAATATGCATAAATTATTCAATTTTATTTAAAAATGTTTACTTGCTATACAAAGCTATGCCTCCTGAGCTGTCGATGCAATGAGGCCCCCCCTTTCCGCTTATAAATAAAACATAATTGTATTGAAGTTGAAAAATAATTTAGTATAAATGTTAGCCCATGGCCAAAATTATTTCATTATATGAAAAAAAATAATGAGTAAACGGACAATTTTTTAATTATTTTAGTAATAATAATAAGAATAACAATTTAAAAATTTCCAAATTTAGTTAATAAAGAATAACGAATAATAAACATTTTCAAATGAATATTTTCAACAGTCTCTTGATAATTTGCTAATTTTAAGACACAAAAATAGCATTTAAACTTGCATGCTTTTTAGATATTTCAACGTTTATGTGTGTATAGTTTACTACTTAAACAGAGTTTAATTCTATTCTTTATGGTTAATAGTTCTGTAATTATTGTTTAATTTAATTAACCATTTTTAAATACCGCATGAAAATATTAATGTAAAATAAACTTAAATATATTCACGACTCCAGAAATAATTTAAGGAAAGAATAAATACTATTTTTAACCTTTTAAGAAAGAAAGAAAAAAAAAACGTAAGTACAGGTGGCCCAAAAAGCATTTAACCACTGTAAAGAGTAAATTGGTGTCTTTATAAAATACTTTATTATTTACAAACAGTAGCGTAACTAGAGGAGGTTCGAATTAGAACGTGCAAGTACATAATCACACACGTATTATTGTACCCTGTACCATTATTGGTATAACCACTAGTGCTGTGGCAAACACTTATATACACGTGTATATAAGTGTTTGCCACATTCAAATTTTTTCTGTACTTATATGACTTTTTATTCATACGAATTTAAGGGAAAAAAACTCCTTAGGTCCTCCCTGGTTATGTTACTGCTTATAAACATTAAAAATAATCAAAATTTCTTGTTCAATACACGAATTACAACATTTTGACACTCATAAGTTGTTGAATTTCTTGCATAAAGAACGGCTAACGAACTTTTGGACCACCCTACATATTTTTCTGTGAATATCGACCAGTTTAATGTATCAAAACGAGTTAATATTAAGTAAAATTTATTATATTAGGTTTGTTAAAGTGAAAATGTTCTCAAATATTTAATTAAAATTAACTTTTACATTTACACAATTTACATATATATGTATATGTGTATTATTATCAGATAAATTTACATTTAACAATGTTAATCATATGTATACTAGAAAATTTTAAGTTTATAA